CCCTTTATTGTAGAAAACTTATCCATTATTATATAATATTGAATTATAAATTTCATAAAATTTTGTAATAGAAATTATGATTAATCAAACAATGTTCAATGAGTATGTTTGATCTTTATTATTTATTCCAACTTGTTGCAACTACAGAATACAAATGTAGTACAGTAGAGTGTCAATTAGCCAAATCAATTGAGGACTAGGACAATTGTTCGGAAAATTGATTTTTCGGATAACCGATTATGTACAAAAAAATACATTATTAATATAGTATATTAGTATATCCCAATTATAGTATATTAATATATCCCATGTTTAAATTTTTCTCTGTTGCGTGTCGCTTTGCGTTGAATTTTCGTCAATGTTAAACCTAACGAAAATTTTTTTATAATAATCATGGCTATTGTATCATTAAAAATTATTTCTTTATTTTGTACAAACAAAATAAATATATTGAAAAATATAAAAACAAAAAAAATTATTAGAAGTTAAGCTAGTATCAAAAACGTTTGATTCAGCACGACACAGTCTGAATGGAATGCTTTCAGTTAATCAACGTTTCGGTTGATTGGCATTCGGATAATCGACGCTCTACTGTATATTCCACAATTGGCATTCAATTTTAGATTTTCAGGATAAGATAGTGCTGATAGGTTTATTATAAAATGAATATAATATAATCTAACTACTTGGTAAGATCCAAAATTTCAAGTCTTGGCATATAGTTTCCTTGTTTTCAATAGTCTAAAACACCAAGGAAACACCTTCAAATTAATCGCCTTGGGCAATGATAACTTTTTCCAGAGCTTGTATGACTTCTGGAAACATTGCTGTAAGACATCTTTTCAACCACCCATAATACCTCCTGCAAAGTTGCTTTTACCTCATTTCATGACTCAAAATGATGTAAAAAAATCTCAGTTGTTTATGATAGATGGACTCAAACCACATTTTACATCCAGATATGTGGAGTTAGCATTACATCCTTTTGTCACAAAATACAAGAGGTTTTTGACTATGAAGAACATAATTTTAACACAAAACAACTACTAATCTTAACACTGTGTTAAGTAACAACAATCCACAAAACCTTTTTATAACAGTGTTGTGTCCTATAATAATCTTCACAAATGATTTCGACTTCTACCGAGGTCTGCTCCAGGTGGTGACTAAATGGTGTCTCCTCTTGGCCACTGGAACGATGACACCTGAGATGTAAATAATGCACTATCACGTTTCACCCCTCTGCTTGTCCCAGTTTGAATTCTTTGAATAAGTATCTCCACGTCTTTGACTACAAAATTGCAGCCTTCCTTGCCCTTACCAGACGGGCCTTCACACACCACACAAACGCTCACGACACCTGGTTAGAGCTCTGCCGCATAGAAAAAATTGCCATTGAGCATGGCTACAATAAAGGCATGATTTGCGGTTTAGCCAGTGCCTGTGCCGACTGTCCCCCATGCTGCAGTGGCAGCCCCCTGACTACGTCGGATGGTGGCCACCAACCCATTAAGAACGATAGACATGCGGTTGTCCAGTTCAACCAACATTTAGACCCCCTATACAGGGAGATTGCTTGCCGTAATTGCACAAAGATTGCGTACAGGAGAACTGGCACTATTCACAACTTGCTGCGCAACGCCAAGGACGTGATAGATCTCAACAGGGCCCCAGGGGTATACTCCATTCTGATCAGGGATGGAGAGACTTAGTTTACATTGGCTCCACCATTTGCTCAACACAAAACCTGTTACGTGAGCATCAACCAGATATTAAAAATAACAGGCACACCACCGCCTTGTCGGCCTACACTACTGACCCTGAAAATTGGGTAAACTTCCAAAACACCAAAGTAATCAGATAGGCATTTCATATTGATCACATCCATCACCTGGAGGCCTGGGAGATTTATAAAGCCAACATTGGGGGCACCTGCATCAACTTTAAAGATGGAGAAACAATTGTCCAGGTGAAGAGATACTTATTCGAAGAATTCGAACTGGGACAAGCAGAGGGGTGAAACGCGATATGCACATTATTTACATCTCGAGCGTCATCATTTCAATGGTCAAGAGGAGACACTGTTTAGTCACCACCTGAAGCAGACCTCTGTGGAGGTGGAAATATTTGTGAAGATTGTTATAGGACAACACTGTTATAAAAAGGTTTTGTGTATTGTTGTTACATAATTTTAACCTGAGTAAATAAAAAAAAACTAAGATTCTACTTGAATAAGTAAAAATTGTCTCTAGGTTTAATCATCACTACAGAACATGACAAATGTAGTCTGGGAATAAGTTCAAACCACTTCAGAGAAACCAAGGTCATGTGACAAGGAACATACAATGTTCGTTGAAATTAAATAAGGGTAGAATTGAATACTTTTAAAAATTGAGAACTTTAAAGATTTAAATGAGTTCTGAAGAAACAATTCTCAAAACCAAGCAGAAAATGTAATTTGTGAAAACAATGAGAACAACACAGAGCTAATTTTTCTTGTATGCTAAAGCCAAATGACTGCTGGATTAATTTGGCCTTAATACAACTATTGAGATTATGGATGTTTATACAGTAGAGCGTCGATTTTCCAAAAGTCAATCATCCGAAACGTCAATCATCCGAAAGAATTCCAGTCGGCAAATTTAAATTTTCGCCAGTGCTGTGGCGCTTCAATCTTTGGCTATGTCTTGGGCTACTCAAATATTTTACGTTTTTGATACTAAATTAACATCTGAAGTATAATTTTTTATTATTTTTATATTTTTCAATATATTTATTTTGTTTGTACAAAATAAAAAAATAATTTTTAACGATACAATAGTCTTTGTTAGGCTTAACATCGACGAAAATTCAACGCGAAGCGACACGCAACGGAGAAAAATTTCGACATTGGATACGTTAAACTATTTTTTCGTACGTAAATCAGTTATCCAAAATATCAGTTATCCGGACAACCCCAGTCCCCAATTGATTCGGAAAATCGACGCTCTACTGTATTTTCCTTATATGGACTACAGAGTAGTTAGTAACTATCTAATACTGAGTATTCAAGAGCAAGTTGATTAATGTTGTTGGCAATTACGGAGATTGAAGTTAACAATTAATTAGAGTTTTAAAAGTTCTTGAAATTAGATGGTTTTACACAGAAAGACAATACAATACTTGAATTAATCTGCCAAGAAGAGGATGCCTACCAGGAAGGCTTTCTACGAGTGCATTTACTTTTAGCTCCAATCTCGCCCCTAGTGCACTCAGCCTGTATACTTTGTTAGCTACCAATGTAAAAAGTACACAGGTGCGAAAAGTAAACGTCATGTTAGCACGGCGTTTACTTTTCGCACCTGTGACGTCATTGCTAGCATTCCTGATGTGCTCGGAGAATTTACAATGAGCTTGGAGTTTGTTCAAAGATGGCAGCATCCATTACTGTGTATACTTTTACAAGCATGCTAGTATGACGTCAGGCTGAGCTAGGTGTCAGCTCGGTGAGCTTGGAAGCTAGAAAAAAGTAAATGCATCCTATGAGAAACTGGCCCCTACATAAAGAAAATCCAGAAAATTTCATGTGACCATGTTCAATAGTTAAAATTCCTCAGTAAGTCAGATCATAAAATAACTTGGTCTCTATATTATTGTAATGAAATTAGATGTTTTGATGGCTGATTAAAACATTAGTTCTTGGTTTCAAAATTGGTTTGTTCATTATCATGGGATCTCAAAAAAATCAAATATAGAAATGCTTAGTATTCAGATACATAGTACAAGTTGTACAGAACAATTGAGAATTTATCTAGAATTGAAAGATTCTCAATTCTTGCATTCAAGTACAGTACTCTCATCTTTTTGCTGGAATCACTTCAAATTAATTTAGATTAAACCTATTAATAAAACAATTTTACTATAAAATTAAAGTAACTGTGTAACATTTATCTGGTAAAGTTTAAAGATAAAAAAAAAATGAAATATTAAAACCTGTTCAAAACAGAAAATTAAAAAAATTTCAGTACCACACAATTCCAATTTCCCCAAGTTTTACTGTATTATTTAAATTTTTAAAAAATTAAATTTTCTCTTAAATTAACAAATTAATATCATTTAGTTTTTTATCAAATTTATTAGATTTCATCTCCAGGTATTTTCTTATAATATATTAAGTTTTAGATATAGTTTCTAATTCAAATGAATAATCTATTGCTTTCAGCCCTTAATTTTGTTTTATTTCAAGTCTATATCAATTACATGTCTAATTGATATAGACTTGAAATAAAATAGTTTCTAATGTTTTAATTCTATGTATAATGAACATTAAAACAATCATATAAATTTCTTTTCAAATATACAGAACATATCTAAAAAAAACATTTGAGTTACATTTTAAAATATAAATTGAAATATATTTTCTTCTTCTCACACACTAGAACCCACTAAATGCAAAAATAGCTACAAGATATATGCAGGTCTGTTTCATTTAGTATATGATGAACAATACGCACAAATAATGTCAGAAAAGATCATAAATAATCTGAACTAGAAAACAACATTGTAAATCAAACAGAAAATAATTTTGTTTAAGAATGCAAAAACATTAAACCAAGGAAGGCAGAATACAACAAAATCAGATGATTTAAATAATGTAAACATTCATTAAAGCCATGTTAAAATGTTTACATTTAATACCAAATTCAGGCATATTAATCTTTTCTTGGATGTAATTTTATCGTTGGAAAGCATTTTCAAATATCTTTCCTCAATTAAAAAATCATTTGCGTAATCAAGTAGGCTAAATTCAACCAGGTACAATTTAAATGGTAAAAAAAAGTTAAACTGAGCGAAGCGTAGATACCTCCTCTTAATTATTCTGTTTAAATGAAGAATGAATAAGTGAATATTTGTTAAATTTTCAATTTATTAAACGTTATATTAAGTAAAACTGACTTGGTTTAAATGAATCATCGAATATTAAGGAAATTATTCAAAAAATATAATATATTAATTATAACCTTTAGCTCTGCTCGATGGATATAGTTTCTCCGCTTTATATAAATACTTAAGGGCTTTGTCGTGTTTTCCTTCATTTATAAACTTCTGAGCTAAATCGATACATCTCTCACTTTCATCCTTATTACCATCCATCTTATTTCTCAAACTTCCCGACCACAATTCTTTGCGCCACGATCTGTTACACGTGACCTCTTCGAATTGGTTTTAAAATTTTATTTAATATTATTATTATTACATCGGATTTTTCTTAATTGTTTATGGTTAAATAATATTTTTTATTTCGTTTAAAGTATTTTTAAAGTTTTCTAATCTAATTTTAACTTATAGTAACGAAACTTATGTAATTTGTCGAATGATTAAATACCGAATTACATCATTAAAAACATGCGAAAATAAAATGGTTTCAACAAAATAAACTAAAATAAAATACTATTGAAAATGTATACATTGTTAATTTATTTCAAATATTTATTAAAAATTAAAATTAAACTTAATGGATAAAAAATATTAGACTTAATTTTACTGTATATGTTACCGGCAAAGTATGAAAAGCCGGCATTCTATAGAATACCTAGGCATTGTATATAATGCCTGGCGTTTTTAGGCAATCTATGAAATATGAGAATTATTACATACTTTCCCTAGGCATTGTATATAATACCTAGGCATTCTATAGAATGACAAATGCTATTTAGGCAAAGTATGAAAAAAGGTTCTGATAAGGCTATTATATAAATGACGTGCATTCCTCAAAAATACAAATGTTATTCTGAAAAAATAATGAGAGTGCCATTAAAAAAATTTATTCAAAATACGTAAAGAAAAATGAAAGTTGTACAAAACAAAATTTATGCCTTTCTTATTAAGGGAAACAAAATTTTCATATAAAAAATTACAATTAACCTACTTGTTGCAACATGGTAGGCTTGAATGACATTTTGAATTACATTTCATTACATTTTTCACGCAAAGACATTTCATATTTTGGCACTTTGTTTTACACATACATTTGACGAATCCTTGGCCGCTTCCACTGGACTGAGCAATTGCAACTGACCGGAGAGGAATTTCATGGTCAGGAATATCTTCAATTCTAAGCAAGTTCTTGGGGCATGGAGTGAATTGTGATCTCGCATATACTTGTTTTAAAATTCCTTCAGAAGTTCCAAGTCGGTAGAAACCATCCTCTGTCACACTCATTACAATTGCCAATATATTGCGCGAATCACCTCGCCCCTTGTCGACGTCAGGAATAGGAACTCGCACAGTAGTTCCCAAAGAAGCAGTGGGAAATTTTTTTTCCGAATTTATTTTCATTTTTTGGCTTGTATTTCCAGATTGATTTTAGAATTTATTTTACCTTCAATAGCATTTTCAGTTTTGAAACAAAGGGTGCACAAAATATCCATTTCATCATCTTTACTAGCATGGCCACAGAAGGTATGAATTTTTTGACGACATTTTTTGCATGCAAGTGCATCACTTGTTTCCTTTAAACACACACAACAGGTATCAGAAACGGAAATCTCTTCAGTAAGCATGTCTTCATCGTGTTGGTTTACTCCACTAACGACTATAATCTCATCTTGCGTAATCTGATTAGTTTCACCTTTTTCCATTGTTTTGACGCTTTCTATTACTTTTTCTAGCTGCTCCTCTGTATTTATGTCTTTTAATTCTGGTAGAAAAGAAAGCCCTACTTTAGGTTTGCAGCCAAAAAGAGCTTCGTATGGTGTTCTTTTGATCCCAGAATGATAAGCTCTATTTTTCATAAATTGAACGAAACGTAGTCCTTCACTCCAGCGGTCAGATTTGTTGTCCTGCATCCAAGTACAGAGCATATTTTCGATATCTTGATTAGCTCTTTCGACACTACCCTGGCTTTGTGAATGGCGAGGCTTCCCATGGACGATCTTCAGTGCTGGCCAAAACTCCTTCAAGCTGGTCACCACATTATTCGCAAATTCCCTACCATTGTCAGACTGTAATATAGACGGCGCTCCAAGCAACGAGAATATGTCCACTAGGTTGTAGGCTACTTCTTCAGCTCTTTTCGACGTTAGAGACTTAAGAATCACAAATTTTGTGAGATGATCTTGGTACACCATAATAAATTTGTATTCTCTATCTGGCTGAGACTGAAAGTCAATAAGATCTACTTGACAACGGGAATTAAATTCGGAAAAAATCATAGGTTTCACAACAATGCCCTTTTTAATACCTTTCTGTTTTTTCTGGCAAGGTTCACAAAGGTGGATGTACAGTTCAATATCATGACGTGTAACATTTTTGTATTTGATTGAAAGTTCTTTCAACATTCTATCACGTCCTCCGTGTCCAATAGCCAAATGAGCTTCATGAAGTACGTGAAATAACTCTGAGTCCGTGACGTAATACTGTATAGTACTGACGCCTTCTTTAACAGGATAAATGAGTTTACTTTTGTTTTCTACAATCATCACATCATAGCGATTCAGCAACCAATAGTCCCTGGGTTCCTTCTTAGTAGTCATTTTGGCTTTTTGTACATCATTTATTAACTTCTGGTAAGTAGTTTCGGTTAAGAAAATACTGTTTTTTGCAGCATTAACTCGAATTTTGCACAGTTCATCGTCGAATCGTTGTTTCATGTCTATAGACCATGACACCTTCTCCAACACTACAGCTTGCTCCTCCATTTTCATGGACCACAGTAAAAAAACTAATTTGTTGTTGAACAAATTTAAGTAAAATTGCGTATTTTGACACTCCCGAACAAACCGCAAAGTGCAACTGACGAATTCTAAGCCTGAGCCGCTCGTTAAAAGTGACGTGCCTTGCCACGTGATATTTGAAACGAAACGGAGATGTATTTCATACTTTGCCAGTTTCTCATTTGGCATTCTATAGAATGCCTAGGAAATCTATAAAATATAAATCGTTTCATAGATTGCCGGCTAGTTTTAGGCATTATATACAATGCCTAGGCATTCTATAGAATGCCGGATTTCAAACTTTGCCGGTAACATATATACAACTAGCGACGTGTGCCCGGCGGTGTCTGGTTTTTGAGGTTTTTTTAAAACTCTTTCCGCCCTGTGGGCACTAAGATGGCCTCTTTCAGCGAGCCCATTATAGGTTCGGCAGGTCCACAATGGGGCAGCCGGGTGGTGAGGGACGGGGCTCGACATATCCGGACCAACCACCCCCCGAAAAATTCCTGGGGTTTACTGACCTGTCCGGATTCAATCACGGGTCCTTCAGAGTGGTAGGCTGCCACCTTGACCGCTCGGCCATCCGGCCGCATATTTAGGATTTAATTATTTCAGTCGAAGCGGTAGGCTGCCACCTTGACCGCTCGGCCATCCGGCCGTCAAAGTCTTTATTAATTTAATGAGATAGAGAGAGATTAAAGTTGAGCCAAAAAAGTTAGGAACAGGTTAGAGAGGGGATTAAAAGTCAGTAAATTTAGTTCTTGGATTTCAAATATAGATTGTTAGAGGAAAAAGAGGAAATTCCAATTATTTAGACGACATATTTAACATATTTACAGGCACATAATCATTTAGATATGATTAGAGAATGATGAGTTAGAGGTTGAGAAATAAAATAGGTAAATGTAGGATGGCAAGAGTTCAGACAGTCTTATTAGATATTGACAGTGATAGCAATTATACTGTATAAAAGAAAGATATGTTACTGGATTTTTAGTCTCACACACACACACACTAATATTCATATATTGAGAAAACTCCGAATTTTTTGTATTTATCAACGTTTTAAGGCCGACCGAGTCCAAAAATGTAAAAATCTTGAGGATTATTTTTTGATCGATCACCAAAATTTCCCTCTTATACACAACAGAGCCGGAAAAGTAAAATGACGTCTGCGGAATCTATGAAGAAGTTTGGTGTCAGACCTCTTCCATTTGTTGTGCCTGGATGCGCACTTTATGAGCCATTCGGGTATGAATATCTGGCTTGTATAATTTGTGTTTTGCCTCTCTGTTCCCTGCACACTGGGAGTTCTGTTGTGGGTTCCCGCCTCGCTGGCCACGTGGAGTTTTCCGGGTTTTCTCCACGTCTGTAACGCCTAAATAAAAGCCAGTTTTTCTTAAAAAGACCTCCCAGAAGTCGTTCCTTTAGACAGATCGGCCAAATGTTACGTTGACATAACTAAACAAATAAAACTTATGTTGCATTCATAACATACTAAACAGTTATCCATTATTCATCTGATTTGATTCAGAGTCTATCAGTTTGACGCTGTGGTATACTCTGCATTCAATTCAAAAGATGAATTCCAGGAGTAATACAGTGTTCTGATACAGATATGCCAGACCCAGTCTCTTACTATTTAAGTTTCGTATGGAGTTTCCCAATTCGTAGTGAATAAAATTAAAAAGCCGTATTAGTGACGACGTGGGAAAAAAGAGCGTACAACTGAACGTAAACTGGAATATGTCAATCTGATTTAAGTCTACAACATTAGTGTCTAGCACTCATATGGGTATTTCTGATTTCTTTTTAACTGAGGTTTTAACTGAGTAATGCTGGAAACCAGTGCGTAGTAAAAACTTTTGTAAAGCTTATTGTTTCTTTTCTGCACGTATTATATATATATATATATTTATTTATTTATATGTGTTACAAATTTATTTTTTACTACAGTATTTCCACTCTGTGGGCACTGAATCAATCTTATCTAACAAGACGATTAATTGTTGAACTCAGTTAAAAATGTGGGGGCCGAGGGGGGAGAGAAATAAAAAAATCTCGACGAACGATAATATGTGATATGTATCGTCGTCGTCTCCCTTGCCGTTTGGATTGCCGAGCGGTAACAATCAACGACATATGGAAGCAGTTGAGTCAGAGATAGATGCTTCGTTTACAAACAACACAACCGTTTATTAAACAGGAAAGAGGCTTACAAGATGTCCGCGATCTTGGAAGTTCTGCGGCGGTTGCGGCCTCTGGGTCTTCCTCTCCTTTCCAAGATAGTCCCATTTTGAAGGAGTGTCCCTTGTTCGCGAATGAACCATTCCATCACGTCTCGAGGACTCCGGGACGATGCGGTCGACTTCCGTTGATGGAAAGATGTCGATCCGAGGTCGGGAGATGGAGACGAAGATGGGTGCAAGACACACACACAACAATAGATCCGTCACTTGGAACTTTCGGGAGAAGAAGTCGTCGCG